ACGAGGAAAAATTATGTAGGTTTAACTTTCGTTGTATTGGTCTTTGCTAATAATATGAAAGAAGTTCTTCTTCATGCACTTACCTAACATCACCATATCCATATAAAATTGTATAAAAATATATAAAAAAACTTGTATTTCACGATTTCTGAAGTTATTTACTCTTCTTACATGCAAAGAGTTAAAGATTTATTTTAGGTACGTGCATTTAATCAAAAATAAAATGCTTTGGAGAAAAATCAATATCGACTTTTTTTTTGATGTACGGGTGCTTCACGGGTTTGTTAAAGTTGTATGTCAGGCTTTGTTTTACATAATAAAACATCAACTCCTCATAATTTACATCTACATATTTTTTAGAATTTAGTTGGAAAATCGTTCTCGAAAAGATTCCTTAATTTGACAGCAGGAAGGTGTAACCTAAGGATCTGCGTTAGGGCCAATTCTCTATTTCACCTACACCAACTATTAATATTAATAATCTGTGCCTACACTACCGACATCCCGCTGACACACAATATGGTAACTACAACGCTCGCAGAAGATACTCTAGTTATGTGCAACAACAACTATTGAAGCAATGTTTCTCCCTTAGAGAGAAAAGTATGCATAGAGGACGCACATAGAAAAGTAACACAAAGTCTTATAAAGTCAGTCTGATGAATGGGAAAACGATATGCAGTCATCCTTAAATAACCAATTGCTGATTTGTTATCATTATATTAAGTACTTGACCACAACCCTTAATAGACCAATGCACACCACAGGGTTAAAGCACCAACGGGTATGATACATCACAGTGTATTTGGAGCTAATGTATGAAAGGGCATTTTTTTTTTTTCATTTAAAAGAAGTAGGACGTTCTTCCCTCGCCCAAAAAGAGTCAATCGCCATTATAAAAAAAATATGCGCAACAGTAAAAACCTGACCTTAACAAATGTCTACTAATCAGCTTGCTGTGATAACATACAAAACTTTCTATGGTTAACAGCCATTAACCATAGAAAGTGTAATTAACCATTAAATTAATAAAACACTAAAAAGTAATAACATTTTATTAGATTTACACATTAATATGTGTTTTATATATTTTGGTCGAATAAACGTTTTGTAAGGCACGTTGGATCCTTATTTATAAGAACGGTCCAAAGTACAAAGTGTCAACCTTGATGTGCTCTTGATTGTACCTGTTGACAATATAAATCAATTTCAAATCCATCGCGTTCTCAGGTTTTCGCAATTGTTACACTTAGGAAATGAAACTACTTTTTCGGATATAAATCAAAGAAAAAGTAGTTTCATTTCCAATTCAAAATCTATTAAATGAATGTACAACACAAAAGAAATAAACTTTAGCAGCACATAGACAGTGTACATGTTAATAAATTGGTTAATTTTCTATACAAACTAATAGCCTTTATGCTTAAAACATGGATTTACGATTTTTGACGGTTTCCATTAATACCTCTTTCCGAGCCTTAAAACGGTTCCAATGACCGCCCTTCATGTGAACGTTAAACGTGGAGGGATCCAACTTGGGAGGTATAGTCGTTCTTTCAGATGGGAATACTTCGAAGCAATTTACGACCTGATATGCCATTACTTTCACTTCGCAGAGGGCGAATCTTGAACCTGTAAAATAAACAAAGTTATTTTTAAACACGAAAATAATATGTATAATATTAATATGTAGTATTTTAAGTGATAACGTAATGGTGAGCGCAACGCTAAATACGTAAAAAGGGGAATAAATAAAAACGGGATTCAATGATGCTGCTAATGTCAATGGTGGTGACATGTGTGAGTGAGTGAGTGATAGCTTATTTGGGAACACTTGTTTCCCTACCCATGCAGATGACCCAAGTTGAGTTTTAGCGAAGTTGTAGCTTAAAAAAGGTATCAATCTTCGCACACAACGTAATAATCCATGTATAGGTTATACTGAGTGTAACTAAACTCCAATGCAATTGACAGAGAGAGGCTACTCAAAATATGTAGAGGTGTGTAATGGCACTCGGACATTAGGTGTGGCCTAATCATATACCGGCTTTAGGTACATCTACAGCGTGTCCTATGACTTCAGGCTTCGAGTTTCATTTAGACTCGTAGTTGTTTAATTAGGTCTTCTCGCGGCGTCAGTGTGGAACTGCTGAAGACGTACCTACAGCCGGGTTTATGATTAGGCCACGCCTAATGTCCGAGTACCATTACGCACTGCAAGATAGGAGATTATAAAGAATTCTCACCGATACAATTTCTAGGTCCAATTCCAAACGGCAAGTAGGTGAAGGGTTGGATCTTGTGTTTGTTCTCTTCAGAGAACCTCTCAGGGTCAAACTTGTGTGGATTCGGGTAGTACTCAGGGTCACGGTGGATTGCGCACACGGGGATCTGGAGACTCTCGCCTTTCCGCATCTATATGGATAAAATAACGGTAGAAAATTAGATTTCAAGATTTCAAGAACAAATTATAGGAAGTTTACGTCTTCTCTCGCTAAAAACCGGAACAGCCAATTGAAATGAGCCAGCGCCATAATTTAAATATATACATTGTCTTCTAAACTACAGTTCAAAGTCATACATTTCGTTAAGAAGATCTTTAAATTTCGTTTTGAATCGAGACGTTACGGAGCAAATTTCATGTCAGAGATACATTTATGATCTACCAGCGTAATCATAGGGACTTAGAGGCAAATAAAGGCGAAAACGGGAGGTCCGGTAGGCAGGTGCTCGTACACAACCCGCACGCAAATTTGCAACATGATCCCGTTGATCCAAAGCTGTGCACACATTGCATTCAAAATCCTCAATACAAACATTCTTCGTTTAACTCATTGACTTACAAATAAATGGACGACGGGTCTAATACAAAAACCACGAAAAAAATGTCCCATGTCAACCTATTTAAACGTATGAATG